ACTCGGGCACTCATGTTTGGTAAACGCTTTACCAATGAAGGCATTGTCGTAGCATAGCATTTTTCTCCACCATAAAATCTAAATATATGCATACAGAAGCACTTTATAAATTCCACATCAGGCCAGGCATTGGTGGCACACACCTTTAATCCCAGCACTCGGGAGGCAGAGGCAGGCGGATCTCTGTGAGTTTGCAGCCAACCTGGGCTGCAGGGTGAGTTCCAGGAAAGGCGCAATGCTACACAGAGAAACCCTGTCTCAAAAAATCAAAAAATAAATAAATAAATAAATAAATTCCACATCAGTTTGCTAGGTGGTAGAAATTTGTACTGTGGGACGTCCTTCTGTATGCTGTGAATGTGTGTTGCTCTCATTGGTTGATAATAAAGCAGTTTTGGCCAATGGTGGGGCAAGTTAAGGTTAGGAGGTACACTCAAACTGAGGACGGAGATGAGGAAGGGTGGAGTCAGGAGTGGCCAGCCAGATGAAGAGGAAGCAAGATGAGGATGTCACACTGAGAAAAGGCACCAAGTCACGCGGCTAAACATAGCTAAGAATTATGGGTTAATTTAAATGTAAGAGCTAGTTAGTAATAAGCCTGAGCTATTGGTTAAAACATTTATAATTAATATAAGCCTCTGAGTAATAATTGGGGAAGCAGTTGAGGGATGGGGCAGAACAGAGAAAAGCCTCCATTTCCAAATCTGAATAACTAAAAGTGAAACAGGCTTCTCATACATTCTTTTAAAAGGCAACAAGAAGAACATATTCTGTGCACTGTTGGTGGCCAAATCTTAAATCAACTAAAAAGAGGGGGAAAAAAACTTTAAAAAAGTATTTTAAATTAAATTTTTATTTTTGGTGACCAAATGAGGTAGAAAAAGCCTGCAAAGAAAAATACCTTAGTGTTTGTTTATTTATTCATAGCAGGGTTTCACATAGCCCAGGCTGGCCTTTGAGTTACCATGCAGCTGAGGGTGATCCTGTGTGGCTGGTCTTGAACTTGTGTCCCTCCCACCTCCACTTCCGAAGTTCTGAGGTGGCAGGTGGGTGTCATCAGGGCCCCCTGTGGTCCTGGGGATTAAACCCAGGGCTTCCTGAGTAGCAGGATAACCGTCCTGTCTGAGCTGCACACCTTGCCCTTGAGACTTCTTTTCAATTGGACGAAGTTACAAACCCATAAACCCCACAGTCCTAATACCAGAGATACTAAGCTCTTCTTCCACAACTCTCCCCAACGATGCCATTGAACCGAGGCGAACACATCAGGAAGCGTTACCCCTTTAAGCGTTGAAGTTAGACACACAGCCTGTCTCGAAGATGACAAAACCACAGTTCCGTCACATCCACACCATGTCTTCAAAGTGAAGTGGCCCAGATACTAGCCACCAGAAATTAATGATGATTATTTTTTTTTGAAGATAGAACTTAAGAGTGAGCAAGGTTTGGAGTATATACTAGAAAGTAATGTTAAGTGAGTTGTTTAGCCAAAGTCTATCTTATTCTGCGTCTCAATACTCTTTCATGAAGGTTACTAACAGTTTGGAGGAAGAGGCAATAACACAGTCATTAATACTCCATGTGGGGCACTCGAGGTAACGGTCTTGATCTATTATTCATTGTACTTCAGTCTCAACTCTGGTGTCTAGTGTTTCCAATACGTAAGAGATGGAACTCACAAGAAATCTCAGAAAAGTGTTGAAAGGGATATAGATATATTTTCAAAAATTTCTATCTCTCTCCTTCTCCCCCTTCCTCATATCCTCTCTCCCCTCCCTCCCTCCTTCCCTCCCTCCCTCCCTCCTTCCCTCCTTCCCTCCCTCCCTCCATCCCTCTCTATCTCCATCCCTCCCTCCCTCCGTCCCTCTCTATCTCCATCCCTCCCTCCCTTAGACAAGGTCTGACTATGTAATCATGGCTGGCCTGGTATTCACCATGTATTCTGGGCTGGCCTTGAACTCACAGAGATCCACCTGTCTCTGCCTCACAAGTGGTGGGATTAAAAGGATGAGTCACTAGACAGCTTATTCCTATAATTTTGAGGCAAGGTCTCACTCTGGAGTCTAGGGTAGCCTGGGATTCATGGCCATCCTCGTGCCTGAGTATCCCTCTTGAGTGCTTGGATCACAGGTGTGAGCCACTAGGCTCTGCAACTGGAGGTGAGTTTAGGGTTTTGCTGTGGAGCCAATGCAAACTCTCTGTTTGGTGGCTGATTTTATCCCCCTGAGGACTGAGCTCATTAACCATCAGAAAGCACATAGTGTTTGCTTTAGGATTTATCATAGACAGCTATACACACAGCTTTAGTCCCTCACTTCTTTTCTTCAAAGTATCCCGGAAATCTCATTAGGAGGGATTAATCCTGGATTCGGTTTGGTGTTCTTACTTTAATAAGCTTGTAGGAAAACCAATAAAAACACACAGGTACAAAGAAGAGCAAACACCATAGAGGGGTTAAATCCCCAAGTCCCAGAGGAATAGGTGATTACACTATTGTGAAGTAACTCTGCTTTTCTGGGAGAGGTGAGGTACCCCGGAGGATGCTGAGTACCGAAGGCCTGGATTCTTGTCTCAATTCTGTTAATTGCCCCACCTGCAGGGCTACAACGGGTTCTCGACCACCCTAAGGAGGGAATGTAGGGACAGGAGATACAAAGGAAAACACACCAAGTCTAGATTCTGATCAAGGTGCCACTTTATTTCCTTTCAGAAAGGTTTATATAGTTCCTGCAGGGTGGGAAGCTAACAGGATGTTTGTATATGATGTTTACAGGGTGAGAGGGTCAAGGGCTCTGACTCAATGTCCTGTTGCTAGGCAACCTGACTGTAAGCTGATCTAGTTCCCTGTCTTATGGGGGGGGGGTGTCTGTATTTTTCCACTAACTAGAGATTCTGTCCTTGTCCCTGAGAGTTAATTTGCTATAATATGACTCTGCAAAATTCCTTACTCTTACAGTTTCTTCAGAAAGATAGTTAATGACATCTATTGCAAGAGTCAAGATACTCGGTGGACGGTGACGATAAATATATAAGATCACTTTGCAGAGCAAAAGCAATCATGAAAGCATTTGTCCTGTAATAATGTCACTGTATTAGAATTAGGCAAACAGCTCTTAGTCCATGCTGGGGATCGACTGTCTGTACCTGCAGAAGTAGGGAACGTGTTGGTTTCAAGTTTCAAGGAAATTTTGTAAACTGTATGTAAGAACCCATCTAAGTTTAGAGTTGTATTAACTCAGCAAAGGGATCTAGGCAGATATAAAAACTCTTGACGGCAACTCTTCCATTAGACAACCTGTAAACTATCATGTGAATGCGATAGGAAGTCATCAGGAGTGTGGCTATAGTCTGGTCCTGTTTGAAGGGAAGGCTAGTTGATTTCTTGAAGACATGAAGAAGCAGAAGGCTTTTCAGCAGTTCCCACAGAGGAACCATAAGCAGCCCAGTGGATTATAAATAAGGTGACTCTTTAATTAGGTAATTCAGGTCACTTTTAAGAGCAGAGGTGAGGGGCGTGGGGGGCACTATGGATAATTACATAGGTAAACAGTCATAAAGCAAGACTGTCCCTGAATAGCCAGGACGTATGCTTCTTTGTTACGATTGGCTCTCACCCCAAGGAGAGTGACGTCAGAGCGAAATCATTAGGATTTGGAAATTTAGCCAGCCTTTCTATACTGTGTCCATCTTTTTACCTTGTTACAGTGAGCAGGTGTGAACAGGGGAGAGCTCTGGAAATCCCAGAAAGCTGAAGCGGGCAACAGCAGGTGGGAGGGCTACAGGAACCGTCTCCCGATTTCTCTGAAGAGGAGCATCCAGCACACACGTGAGCTGTTTTCGCTGAGAGGCAACAGAACCAGACACACCAGTCTGGAATGTCAAGCGCAGAGATGAGTGACTGTGAATAAAAGCTTCAGGCCAGTGTCGAGTCTACCAAATGGAGTTGCAAACAGCCCTGAGTTCTGCAGGCAAAGGCTGTATAGAGGTAAATCAAAGAGCGCTCTTCCAAGGCTGGCCGTGTGGGTTCCCCTGGCCCCTTGTCACGCTTCGGTGTCCTCGACCACAGCGTCACACATGGAGAATAATTGCTGTTAGCGCCGTGGTCTGCGAGCAATGGTGGCGATAGAATTTTCCCAGGCACTGAATGGGGAGGGCTGTACACACCCATGTCTAGAGATACGACGGTGCGCTTCCCCCACACATGTTCACTCACTTAGAAGAATCACTTAAAAATTTCCCTTTGAGGTGTTCCTTTACATGATTTACATTAAAGGCCTCGTTTTCAGCATATCCCCAGCATCTGGCTATGTACACAGCAGCCTTATATTCCCACCAGGGTAAGACACCTAAAGATATTTTAGTAAGCAGCTTCCTGGGATGATAAATCATCAGTCACAGTGTCACATTTTTTTTAGCATGATCCTAAATTCTGAGAAAAGAAAGACCAGCATTCCTCTGCAGGCCAGGGCAAGGGAACCGCTGACTGGGACAGACTGAGGCACAGTGCTAAAAGCAGAGTGGGTATTGCTTCGGTAGCACCCCCTTTCCGCGCCTCCAGAAGTGTGAAGGATTGAGGGAGGAATGTCCCTATGACAAGAGTAGTCCTCTCTGACTGTTGGACAGCTAGCTGTAGAATCAAAGTGTCACTGGTTCTTTTGATGGCCCTCCTGTCTTTATAGAGATGGTCTTTCAAGTGAAAGATCCCTTTTTGCTTTTTTCTTATAGATAGTTCTAGAAGGATAGAAATAGGGCTGGGAATACAGTTCAGAGCGCTTGCCTGGCACGCTCGAGGCCCTAGGTTCAATTTCAAAGACGGAAGAAAAAAAACGGAAGTTTTTCATGTGCAGGTAAGAAGCATACTTGTATTTTGACAGCTACCTTCTTTTAAAATACCTAACTGCCACTAAAAGAAATGGTGTCAGCTTGACATTGGTTTCTTGTTTTTTAAGAAATGTAGAAATAACCGGCCTCACACTTCGTTTTCATTGACTGTGAGTCCATTTGCATTATGTATTATTCGTTTATTGTATAAAGTTCTATGTTATCAATTCACAAAATAGTCCTGGAACTTCCATTATTCACTGAGGCTTCTGATAGAATGAATACATTTAAAAACAGTCATGTGATCATATTCATGTAAGGAAATAACAGTAGACGGAGAAGCCGGTACATTATTATTGCCAAGGTACTCATCCAGTCTCGAAGAAGTATGAATCGTACAGTTAATTCCCAATTGTTTTACAGCATAGGTTTTTTTTTTTTGTTTCCTGTAAATACATAAAGGGGATTCAAAAAAATTAATTATTATTTTTTATTTCTTTCAGAGCTACTCTCGTGATGGAGAAATAGCCATTTTTGTTGACCACATTAACTTTATATCGACCCCATTCTGACAAAAGAAACAGTGAGTACTCAGCTGTCAACTTCTCAAAGAATTTTATTTCCAGGAACAATAGTCTCTCTGAGTACTGTCCAGTCCCTCTTGCTAATTAAAAGTGCAAACATATGTCGCCTTATGCTTTTCAGGTTGTATTTCAAGCAAGCAGACTCCCGACCTCCAGGGCACAGGAAATACCTCTCTCAATGTGCTTTCTTGGCGATGCTCTACCTCCTGCTTAGGAGCAGGCTCTCGAGGCCCCACTTCATTTGTATGCTCCCTCAAGTGCACACAATTAACGACTGTTCCATAGTTGGAAGTTTTCATTTTGGATTTAATGTCCCAAGCTTCCTTTCCTTTCTTTTTTTTTTAAAGACAAAAATAATTTCTTTTTTAATAATCTTTTATTCAGAGAGTAAGAGACCAATCTCGATTGATCACTGTGTATCCCACTAAAATGTTGCAATGCTTGGCTAGGCCCTGGCTAGCTTGCCAGCCGTGACTCTAACATCCTAAGAGATTATTACAAATCTGGGCTTACCAGGGTGCACAACCCAAGGTTGTCTCTTTGGTAAAATTGTAAATAGCAACCAACTGTTTAATGACATAATGTGAATTTTTATAGGCTCATCTAATTCTCCAGCCAGATTGCTCTCTGAACATTTAAGATAAATTTCCACCCACTCCTTAGAAATGTTCAACACACAGGCTAATCTCTCACTATTGATTTCCTCCACTACGCATCCTGACTATTGCAAGATCACTTGACCTATACAAAAGATCTCAGTGACGGTTTAAAAGGAACAGCTTTTCAAAAGAATGCTTGGAAAAGAAATCAGTAAAGATACCAAAGTAACCCTTCCCTGATTCTTAGCAGGGTAGTTTAACTCCATATTTTGACTGGGTTTAGAGGACAGGAAGAAAATATCATACACATTTTTAAGAAGAGGTATCATATATTAGGCTTGTGAATGTTTGGGCATCTTGAGGGAAGTACAGGATTCTTATCCAGTGATTGAGAAGTCCAGGTTAAGAGTCTGCCTGAAGCTGGGCTTCTCTGGGCTTTTGTTATTTATCTTAAAAAACAAAAACAAGAAACAAACAAAACCAAAAAAACTAAGCAAAATAAAAATAGACAAACAACAACAAAAAGGAATTGACTCTTTTGGATCCCCCTGTCCTGAACTTCATGACCTGTGTGTCCCAGATGTATAGATCGCCTTGACATATACATTCTTATTAACAAGGAAACTATACTAAAAAAGAGAAAAAACAAAGTATGAACACCTTGTACCTAAAACAACCAGGGCACATGTAACAAATGAGGTTATTTTCCCTCTAAAGACCCATCTTCAATCCTGCACACTCTTTTCTCATTATTGAAAAGCAAAAAATTATTTTGAATATTAAATATTCAATTTAGTTAATTTTGAAGTTATTTTTTTTCACACCCCTGAAATATTGCCCATTAGCAGAAAATGGTGTCAGAAGGGCTTTATTAATACTAATTCCTTTCCTGGACTTCCAAATAAAACAACATCATTGTTTTCAGCCATGGGTGGGTGGGGCTCCAGAACTAATAATTAAATAACACCACTTTTCAAGTTGCCAGATTAAATGTAATTGAAGCGCATGAAACCATTTCCATATCTCTTGGAGTGAAGATTTATTTAAGATAGACTAAATGAATTACATGGATCCCACTCCAAAGCCTTCTTCAATAAAAGTTATGACTGGACAAAGATCAGATTTTTTAAAATTTAAAAATAATAGAAAAGTAAAAATAGATTTCCTAGAGAAATTTCTCCCCTAACTTTTTTTGTGTGCGTGCATGCATGCATGTGTGTGTATGTGTGTGTATGCGTGTGGTATTTTGCTGATTCTATGAAATCTGTCTTTGGAGTAACTGGGTAGGAGAGTATTTTGTTGTTGTTGTTGGTTGGTTTGTTTTTGTTTTTAACTGGATTCATCCAAGGACACTGAATTAGGATGTCAGCTGATTGGTGGAACACGAACTCTTTATGAATCATGACGGATACTATAGGCCCTGAAAGGAGAATGGCAAATGTGAACGAGAGCATGTAATGTAAGTCTTAGATGCCACAGAGCCTTGTTTAAAGAGAAGACAAAAGAAAACAGAATAGTATGAGCACTCTAAAATCATCTGCAGCACTTTAAAGGGTTAAACCCGCTTAACCCATTCTTAGTCAGAGAATGGCACCAAAGAGTACAGCTCACCCCTCAAGCGTGGCTAGTTCTAGACCTGTGGTAGCCTCAGGTTGCCAGAGCATTCATGCGCTCTGTTTCCACCCCCCTCCCACCCGACTAATAGGATCCATTCATAGCTACTCACTACTGCAGGATTTGACCTGAGAAATGCTAGGATCGATTAACTCAGCAGTCATGGTGAACAGTCCCTAGATTATCTTTACCCTTGGCCAGCAAGGGAACTGCTAGTCTCGAGTTCTCAGCAGCAGCTGGTGAGGTTCTCAGCCAAGTTCTTCAGATGTAGGAACTTCTCCCGGACAGCCTACGTCGACATGGCGTTTACACATCTTTCAACCCGGCTTCCTGGATCTAGGAAATGTTATTCCTGACTCCTGTGACCCAGACGCCCATGACAACACAGTTCACAGTCTGTAGGTAATCGCTCTTCTTTCCTTTCTAGGAGCTGGCATGGTGGCTATTTTTTTCTAAAACAGTCATGTTGATATGTCCAAAAATCCATTGCTGAGTCTCGGATAGAGGGTCACATCTGGCCATGAAAATCTTCTTCTCTGCAGGATTACAGTCCATGCAGCTGTTGCTCACAGCATGGAATAGTGTTCTGTCCTAGGTGGATCAGAAAGAAAAGATTGATAGAGTATGTATGTGGCGAATGCTACAGCCCCAAGTTTATATATGTAAAATATTTGTTTGTATTTGAGTATATACCCAGAGTCTAACTAAACCAGTTCTCAAGTCAAAGAATATGAGATTTCAAAGGATCCATAACTTGCAAGACAACTTAAGCTGAGACATTAATTATTAATTAATTAATTATTTAAAAAGAGCAATTCACTCGTTTCTAGTTTCATAGTGAGTGTTTTGCTGCATGTTTAGCTGCTTACAAGTATAAAGGGCTTCCAATCATTTGGATAACATATGGCATGTACACACACACACACACACACAACACACACACACACACACACACACACACACACACACACATTGTGTTGAGGGCACAGGAAGTAATAAACACACCCAACTAGACGAGCGAAATTTCCCTGTTCTCACACTGGTTGCCTATTGAGAAAGACAAGAGAATTCCATGTTGGAATTGAAATGCCCGGTGCTCAGCTGCTGTCTCCGGAAGATGAATGAAGGGGTGGGGATGAGTGGTACAGGGGCAGTAGCTGAGAGTTAAAAGTCAGGTTTGTGAGTGCTTGAGAATCAGTCTCTTCACGCCCTTCAACCGAGCATCAACGAGGCTGCAGGAGTTTAGATAGCATGCCTCTGATGACTTCTTGTAAACTGGAGGAGGTATCATTTGCTTACAAGACAGTTGTGATAAATAAATCCCCTAAGTCCTTGAGACAGCTCACAGCTCAGTGAATAAAAGATGCTCACTTCCGGGGCACCAAGTTTAAGTACTGAACAAACTCATTATCTGAACACACCCCTTTTTTATTGTGGACCTGGGAAGATAAGGTAAAGCTGAGAGAAAATGACCCCACCCCCATTCCCGCTTAGTATCAATCATTTGAGAAAAGGTCCCCAAATTACCACTTAAATTTTAGCATCGAGTAATGTTTTATTATTTAGCTTAGGAAGTGGTTAGGGGTTCTGGTTGTTCTGGTTGCTTTCCTTCAAGGGAGGAACAGTAAACGCACAGTGCTTTTGAGATTAAGAGTTTCTCAGCCACCCTTTGTAAACATTTACGGGTTCCTGGATATTAAGGCTCAATCAAACCAATATTTAATGTCCTTGAAGGATCCGGATATTTGCATGAAGGGAAAGGAGAAATAAGGAAGGAGAGAGGCAACATTGGGCAATCTAGTCCACGTTTCTATTTTTACTGTAAACAAAGGACTGTGCCCAACACAAAGGTCTCTTCTTCTCCTCTTTAAGTTTGTTGTGGATTTCCTGAACTTGAATTCAGAAGTCTCCTGAGGTCTCCTTACAGTCCTTTCCAATCTCTTCACCAACTCCCCTGCAGTCCGACCTCAGGGGGAGGTTCTGGGGAACTCTCTTCCTCTGTGGGGGAGATGGTACCTGCCGGGAAGGTGGAGACTGTTCTCAGCTCCTCACCACAGCCTTCAGGACCACCTGGGCTCCTGGCATCCAGGTCCCTCTCTGTCACAGTCACTGTGACTCCGCGCCCAGCATTTTCCTTCCTTGTCTCCCTCTTTTCCCTGCGGCATTTCTCATGCTTCACCCTCCATTTCCAGCAGCTCAGCTACATGCATCTGATACATTCTATTAGGTTTCCAAACAACCTTTGTGGTTTTACTTCCTAGAGCGCTGGGAATCAAACTCGTTCAAAACGTGGGCATTCTGGGCAAGTATTGTACCACTGAGTTATGTTTCAAATCCCTTCCCATAGCATTCTTTATGGGTTTTTGCATTTATTTAGCATACATGCGCCTGTGTGTGCATGCCACAGCGTATAGATGAAGATCAGAGGACAATGCGCAGGATTCAGTTCTCTCCATCCACCATGTGAGTTCCAGGGATGAAACTCAGGTCAGGTTTGGTGGTAAGCATCTTTACCCACTGAGCCTTCTACTGAGCCCTCCAAAGACTATTCTTAAACTACAACATCCAGGAAAATTCTGTGTTATCCCCTAGATTTTAACTTGCTCTGTTGCATGTACGTGCACCTCCTTCCAGTCTTTAACAGCATTTCTTCCTGCTTCCTTTACCAACAACAGCTCAGGCAGACCTCCAGACACCCCCAGGTTCCCCTTAAAAACATGCGTTTCCATGAACCCTAAAATCAGCAAAGAACGTGGGTATCCTCTGGTTCCCTGTCCTCACCAGTGTCTGGGTGCTAACACAAACACAAAAGCAAACCTATTTTTTCCTGAACATCCATTTCTGAGCCACCAGGTGATCACAGTTTCCAAACGCCTTGTGGAAAACACATGTTCTGACAGATACAGGTGTGTTCACAGGTACAGCCTGGCAGGCTATGCAGCTTTAGCGCCAACTGGAACACTCCAGAATGTGTTTTCCATGCATGTACTTCACGTCCTTATAAGAGAAGGAAACTGGGACTCTTTGTGTCTGTCGACACCAGGGACGCCGATGTCCAACAAGATGGGCAAGCAGACACATCCCTAAAAGTCTTTCCCTGTCATCGAACTGAACGAGCACTTTGTCCCAAAGTTCGCCCGCGACAGAGACTAATGACAGGGTGTCAAAACTAGAAGCCCTCCCCCATATCCAGGAGATCAACTGATTGTTCTCTGGCTACAGACTGAACGCTCTTCCGCCTTGTCTTCGGAGCGCTCAGCAAGGCCACAGAGATGAAGCTTCTGGGAACATTTTCAGCCTTCAACAGAGTGTACCTTTGTCACTTTTGACCTTGGGGGTGACATAATTGCTATCTATAGGCATCTACTGGGCCAGGCTTTTGGGTTACTAAATGTCTTTATCGACGCGTGCGCTAGCTGAAATTAAGTCAGCCGAGAGAGTAATCGCCCTCTGAATATGTCTTTTCTCCCGTGACAGCTCTCCTCTCCCCTGCCCTTCATACCCTCTGTCGTGGCTGCTAACAGAACAGCACCGCCCCCCCCCCCATACACTTGTGAATACTTTGCAAAGTGTGATGTTCCATTAAAGTCTTCTGTAAGTGATGATCGATGGTCTGATGGTCTGCCTTTGCTTTGCTCTTGGTCCAGTCCTGACAAAAGGTATGGCATAGCCCTGTCTGTTCGGGGTCACCTTTACTTCACCTTGTCTAAGAAAACCAGAAATCAGTGAGCAGGGGGTGTCTAAGGATGACTGAGCTGCCCTTCATAATCAGTTCACGGTGTCGACCAATCAGCGCATGCAGATGAGCATGGGTGGGACTTTTTCACTGAAAGCCACGCTGCTTCAAAGCTGGCCACAGACTTGACTGGCATCTGTGTGATAACCTGTGCATTCCCACATCCCTACTGCCCTTTATGAGCTCCTGTATTTACATAGAGTCTGAGCTTTAAAAGAATGAGTGAGCTGTTCCCAACGTTCCAGCCTGGGCTTGGGGTCATGAAAGAACCGAGCAACAAAGACACAAAGGCAATAAAATAGACATGAGAGAGAGAGAGAGAGAGAGAGAGAGAGAGAGAGAGAGAGAGAGAGAGAGCGCGCATGGCTCACAGGAAGAAGATTCTCAGAACAAAACAGGGCACAGCTGGAGAGAGGCAGCACAGTCCTGGGAAAAGGCCTGAGATTTGTGGCTGTCCAGGGAGCTGGATGCATTCTAGTCATCATCCACTTGCTTGCTGTCTGCCATTAGAGAAGGCACTAAATCCTGTGACCCTTAGCTCACGTACTTGTAAATATAGATAACGTACCCGAGTTTGTTATGGGAGGATAAAATGTAGAATGGCTGGCTCCATGCTGCACATAGAAGTGACTATGTAATAGCTTCCTCTTTTCCTAATTTATTTTTAGTCAGAAAAGCATCCCCAGTTCTAAGCATCAGAACGTACTAACCATCTGGTCTGAGACCAGCTAGCTATTCAACACCAAATTATATTTTCTGAAATCCTGGCAAAATAGAGCTTGAAAAAAGTACCCTCTGACTCAAGTTATCCATACTGCACAACAGTGGCGCCCACTTCAATCAAAAGGATTTTTGGAGGAGACAAAGGTAATCTAGAGGGAACAAGGCAGCTTTGCCGAGTAACGACAATCAGAGCTTTGGCTGGTCTCTAGCTGGAGATATGACTATCCATTCAGGTCCTGCGCTTTTCAGAAGACAGAACAGTCAGGTGGGTGGGCCTTTTGAGTCATTGTTCAGGCAGGCCAATTGAGTTCAACAGATATTTATGAAGTGCCCTTTATATTGCGGTTAGTGTCAGGAAAAAGGTACACGTAGGAAGATAACCTAAGTTGTATCCTCTAACCCAACCAATAGAGGAGAACAATAGGTACATAATAAGTGTTTGAAGTAGAAAAATAGCAGTGAAATGTAATGTCAATGAAGGTGAATATGAAATAACACATTTATGCATTTGAGTTATTTAAGAAATGAATGGGTCAGATCCTGTTTGACAAGGACTTCACTATCATGATGGGGAACCCACAGAGTCAGCTGACCTAAGCTACGGGGAGCTCACTAACTCTGGATGACAGCTAGGGAGCCTGTATGGGACAGACCTAGGTCCTACACATCTGGGTAACAGTTGTGTAGCTTGGTCTTTTTGTGGGGCCCCTCGTAGTGGAATCAGGACCTGTCCCTGGCACAAGAGCTGCCCTTTTGTGGTTTATATATCACAATTTCTTTCCATCTTTTGACAGGTACCTAGACTGATTCTATCTATTGGCTATTGTGAACAGGGCCACAGTAGACATGGTGGTATATGTGGTGATATATTGTGTACCCTAATAAAGCTTGCCTGAGGATCAGAGGACAGAGCCAGCCACTGGATTAGACATAGAGGCCAGACAGTGGTGGCACACACCCTTAATCCTATCACTCGAGAGGCAGAGATCCTTCTGGATCTCTGTGAGTTCAAGGCCACAGTGGAAACAGAGCCAGGCAGTGGTGGCACACACCTTTAATCCCAGTACCGGGAAGCCCACACGCCTTTAATCCCAGGAGGTGATGGCAGGGCAGAGAAAGGTATATACGGCGT